CCGTTTCGTCCTAGTATGATTTCGAATGTGTAAAAATCACAAACCTCGAAAACTCTGCCCCGAAATATAGTAACAGTGTTCACTAGTGACTGGCTTCGTGAGGAAATTCTCGCAGTTCTAGTGAGAGAAGACGTGACGAATGGAGTCCAACCCTATCTGGTGTAGGCAGTAACAACCAAAGACAAATGGGTGAGGTCGCGGAAAACCCCTAGATCAATCAGAGTTAGACATTAACGCCGTTGGATGCCGGCCCAGTGATCCGATGGTTAGGCGTTCGCGCACAATACCGAAGATTGTGGGTTGGAATCCCGCGAGGAGCAGGAGTCGTGGATGTGCACTGCTGATGTAACAGTCCCATACCAGGACGAAACGGCCGCACTTTCAGTGCTTCCGGGTTTCAAATGTTGGTCTAACAATGATTGATCGATGATTTCGACTGTGTGAAAAATTCACTTTTTTTTCAAACTCGACATTCAATTTTCATGCAATTTTCCCCATTTTTAAATTCGAATAATGAAATAACCAGTAATTAAGCTGAATAACATGAATTCCTTAATAAAACAGATGCTCCTTAGCTGCTTACAACCTAAAATCAGAAGTCAGAATTAGGATATTAGAATTTCGAGTAAAGTTTATGAAAACGAAAAAGATTTTAGCCCTTGAGCTTTAATCAATACTTTGCTGATGTATCAGCTTTCTCAGTAAAGATATTTCTGTCATTAGTTTCATGAACTAGATGTATTGAGGCTATCAAGGATTTTCCAAAACGTGCGTCTTTTGCTATTTAGGGAACATTATGGCTTATTAAACAAGTTATTGATTATCTGAACTTAGTTATTTAATGGACTGTGAGTTCGAAATGAAATGTATTAGGTCGATGTTCTAATTTGAATTATCAATAATCGCATACATACATGTGAATTCATCAATTGACAAATATTATCACACAAGCTGAAATGTTTGTCCGTTATATATTCAATCTTTTCTGTAGAAAAAAAAATTACAGAATAAAATTTTCTTCTAACAAAATAATTCATTGTTTCATAATGTAAACGTTTTTTTTAAAAATAAGGAGAATGAGTAGTTATATCAGATCAACTTGAACTAGCATGTTACGGAAGTTTACCTCACTGTGTGTGTCTGTACATATATATAATTCAGTAAGTACTTGGCATATTCATGAACAAAATGAAGAAAAAAAGACAATTATTGACAGAATATAAAATGCAAAAAACTTTATCTTATTGAAAAGCAAAAACATTCAAAAAACTCTTCTTTTGAATAACAGCAAATAAATATATAAATATATCTATTATATATCTAAAGTGAATCTATTCCTTCTTGTACAATGAATGACAAAATCAATATCTTCCTTCATGGATTATTTATTCCCTTCAGTTATGATGTGCTTCTGTCATAGAAATCTATCTTACTGGGGATTTTTACATTTCCTATCTGATAAGAAGGCAAAAGCTCCCACACACACGCACACACACAAGTAGATGTACACAATAAAATGTTATTTTCAAGTATTCAAGAAATGTTTCCATTCTCTCTTTGTTTGATTATTGAAGGGATGTACCGGAAATAGATTGACTATAAATGTTATATATGCATATATATATATATATATATATATATATATATATATATATATATATATATATATATATATATATATATATATTGTTGACTGTGTTTTTGGCAAGTAGATTAAGGTTAACTTGAGGTTGAGAAGAAATCATTACTATTATTTTGTATGAAGTTAATGACAGGTAAAGGAAGTCGTTTAACAGTAATAGTAGTAGTAGTAGCATTAGTATTCACACAGTAGTCCTCAAAAATATATTTATAATGACAACAGGTAGTTAGTACTCATTATATCCTGATAATATTATTTAAAAGGTTCTAGTTTATCATGAATCGATCAATGTCAGACCATCATCAGAAACCTGCAAGCACTGGACGGTCGTTTCGTCCAGGTGTGGGACTCATCAGCAATGTTCATCCTGCACCTTGCAGGATTCGTACCCAGTATCTTCGTTATATCATATCAAATATGAGAACAAGCCTTAATGAAAAGTGATAACTGACTAATGTTTAGTTTAAATTATTAATTTTCATTTTTCAGAAAATATTCGAACAATGATAGCACTTCAGAACTGATAAATAAATTAACTCAGGAGATGAAGCATAAAGTGATTAAAACAAGAGGTAATAGTTTCAAGTTTCATTGTGAACATCAACAGTGAGATTAAGCTAACTGCCTGAATTTGACTGTTCACTATATACCACTCAACATAAAAAAAAACTGTTAGGTTCTCAATATTAAAAATCAATGAATTGATTGCATGCGTGTTCGTTGACAAGCTAAAAAAAAATTGTTTCAGTTTATTTCTAGCCATTAACCTTAAATTTTAACGCTGAAATAATTTTCGGGTTTTATATTTTCATAAACTATGGTTTTATACTAAGAGATCCTGATTTGTCAAGAGTTCCTTGAAAATCATGAAGTAACGAACAGCTGTTTTGTTCTAGAATGATACTTTTAACCAATCACAAAAACCTGATTGTGTTCCAAACCAAATTCAAGCAATATGGATATCCCAATGAGAGCTTAGTCATTCAACCAATATTTTGGGATCGACTCAATAGTTCATATGTAAACCTCTCACCTTGAAACTTGAATGTTAGGCTTCACATACAGAGTATGGTCTTCAGTGCACACTTATCATGAATCTTAATCTCAGATGACATAGCTACAACATATTTTCAAGTTTTCAATTATGCCTCAATTCTGAATGAATACCATTTACTTACTGAATCGAATCCCCACAAAGCCATTACATCAAAACTAAAAGAATAGAGGGCTGGATCTATAGATTATCGGAGATAAATGATAAGTTCTTGATATTTAAAATCAAAGAACTGATTGCATGAGTATTGATTGTCAGTCAGTCAGTCAGATGCAACGTAGAACTTTGTACGTAAGTACATCAGTTCATATTGCCATACCTTATCAGCACAGCGATATAATTGATTGATTGACAAGCTAAGAAACATTCTTCCGTTTTATTTCTAACCATTAATCTAAAATTCTGACACTAACATAGTTCCTGGCTTTCGATATAATAAACTTTTCTCTTATACCAAACGAATGCTTAATCCACTAACAGTCGGCTTTACTTCCTCAAGGTCATCTTGAGAGTTATGGAACAGTTTCAGTTGCTCATGCTTACTTTATAGATTCATCAATGTCAAGAACAATTCATGTCTGACAGTGTTAGATAGTTAAAAATTCAGACAGACTGCATTACTTTCAGAAATGTTACGGAAATCACTGTCATATTTGTATGGAAAGATAATTGATAAACTTTTTTTTCATTAATAAAAAAAATTCATTGTTATTGTGATTTGTAAGTTTCATCATAAGCATCTTTGTATCTTTGTATTGACAGTAGAGTAACACTGATAGATTCTAAAAGCTAGCTAGTGTTTATATATGTATAATTACTTGTCATAAATAGACCAAGTCAATCTTTCTTATTTGAAAAAAGCTTTGCAAATCAATAAGTGACTAGATTTTTGAAAGATGTATTATGAAAAAAATAATTTTCTCTAGGTAATTATTATAAATATGGTGAACTTTAGGATAACAAATGTTAAATTTAAAATTGGTCTCTGTTATTGTGATTATTGGTCAGTCGATTTTGTAATCTTGCCGGTTTCCTGTTACAATACTTAGATTATAAATCTTTCTGTTAAATCTGTTAAACATCTTGTTGGGGACGTTAGATCCCCAGAACTCACTGATAAAGGCCTTAATTCTGGATTTTATTCATGGGCTGATCAGTTGACCTTGAGATCACATTTCCCACCAGTAAAATCCTTAGCTGTGATTGGTTGATGTGCTAATGTTGTGACTCTCCCAAGGACAATGCTATGATGCATAAATAAACTCGATGTGTGCTTGAGATCATTGTATTTTCTGAGTGCCTGTAGAATACACTTTGTACGCCATATCAAGACTTTTTCTTCCGTTAGCTGGGGCAGCGGATCAGAGTACCATATCATGTCACTGGTTCATTGTCTCGTTCTCACTTTTTGACTAAGGTGAACTTGTAATAGCTTCAAGCATATCAAGTGACGAGCATAACACATCTTACTACTGAAAAGTATTGTCTTAGCAGAATAATTAAAAGTGGTATCTTGGCTAATTGAAGTTCTGTCGAAATAAACTAAATTTCATGTTGATTAATCCCAAGAAACAAAACCATTTTGTAAATATTTCAGAATTAAATCCTGAGTTATGAAGGTAACGAATGAGCTCGTAAGTAAAGTCAGTGAAAGCCAATCATATCGTCATTTTACATAACATAAAGCTAGTCAAAACAGAATAAATGAAATCTTAATTTTATATGAAGTAAGAAATTTGCATTTCATTTGAGGTTTTCTAACTTAGAGAAGAATTTCGGTTCAATTTAACGACTGTTATTGGTGGAACAAGAAATGTGTTTATGTACAGACTCGAAGGATAAATACTACACTGGCCTACTATTGTTATCTTTCGTGAAGTATAGGCTGCTGACTAGGATTCGTCAATCAACTCTGTCCTGGGTTCTCCTTTACAGTTTTTCCGATTGCTGTTCGTTCTTTTGGCGCTTAAATCCAATATTCTGTGCAATGTGTTACTCGGTCTTCCGCTTCGACGTTCGCCTTGATAATTCCAAGTTAGGGCTTGCCTTTTGACGCAGTTGGGTGCTTTCCTCAATGTGTGTCCTTTGCACATCTGACTTTTATTACTAATTTCTTCATCAACTAGGAGTTGGTTTGTTCGTTGCAATAGTGGTTTGCTGCTGATGTTGTCTGGCCAATCGGATTCAGAGTATTTTGACTAAAAACACTGCTAATCAATACTTGTATCTTTTAGACGATAGCTTTATTAGACACTCGTTTTTAAACTTTTTTCTAATATATATTCACTGTAATTTTTTTGGTAGATATACAAATGAATTCGGTAATGCAACTAGAAGAAGAAATGCTACTAAAGAAAGTACAACCACATTGAAAGCTTGGCTACAAGAACATATTAAAAATCCTTATCCAACTAAAGGAGAAAAGATTATGCTGGCGATTATTACAAAAATGACTTTAACACAAGTTTCCACATGGTTTGCCAATGCAAGAAGACGTTTAAAAAAAGAGAATAAAATGACATGGACACCTAAACATCGTGGTGAAGAACAAAATGATGATGACGATGATGACGATGATGGTGATGATGTTGACGATGATGAAGAAGAGCAGGAGGTGGATGAGGATGAGGATAACAGAGACAACAATGAAGAGAATGATCAAGATGTACGACATACTAATGAAAGACAACGAAATGAACGATGTAGAAAATCAAATAATCAACGTCTTTACACCGATGATAACATTAGTCATGATCGTGATGGTGACGATGAAATGACTGGATCTGATGAAGAAGAACAAGAAGAGGAAGAAGTGGAAGCAGCACTGAATCAAGCCAGAAATCATTGCACATTGAAAGATTCTACAAATCATAATTATTATTATGGTCATCATCATCAACAGCAAAATTATGCATCAGATAAACATGGGAAAATCAATAAATCCACCATGAATTCAAATTCACTGAAAACTTCCTTGACTAAGAATGAACTGTACACAATAGACAATAGAGTAATGCACACAAAAAATCATGAACAAACGAATAACTATCCATTTGCTCCACCTTCTTCTTCTACCGATTCAATGTTTATTCAACAAATTCAACCAAATTTCAATGTTCCATTTGATTTTTTATTGAACAATGATCAACATGATAAACTCCATTCAACATTGAATCAATTGAATACTTTTAATAAAAACAATGATATGCTCCTCCTACAACAACAAGCACAACATCAACAACAGCCTAATTGTTTTAATGATAATAACAATAGTAATAAAACACAAATCATCAAATCATCAATAGAACAACATTTAAATCATTCTATTGAAAATCAACTAAATGAATTTCGCGATAAATGTAGCTTACCAAATATGATTGCCCAGTCGAGTAAGTTCACTATGAGTACTGAATGTTCAGTAGTGTAAAGATGAAAGTATTTATTAACAAGTTATGTGTTGAATGATTGTTGTACTGTGTGAAAAATTACAATGAAGTTTGAAAATGTGAACTATTGGATGTCAGTCAGTGTAGTGTGCTCACTAGTGACTAGCTTCTTGAGGAAATTCTCCAAGTTTTAGTAAGAAGCCATGGATTAATTGAGGTTAGATATTAACACAGTTCGATGCCGACTCAGTGGTCTAAAGGTTAAGCGTTTGCGCGAGAGATTGAAGGTCCTGGGTTTGATTTACGCGTGCGGAGGTTTGGGATGTGCAATGCTGATGAGTTCTATACTATGACGAAATGGTCTTCCAGCGCTTCCAGGTTTCTAATGGTTATCTAGCAATCATCGATTCATAAGTTTAACGATTTTGAAATTACTGAAGACAATAAATTTTGGTCAATAATATTAGTAACATATAAACTATCAACTCAGTATACAGTATTACTAAAATATTCAAATTAGAATAGAACAAATGGGAAACCTTTCAATTTTCTACTGATATTTCCGCATAGACTGATTTTTATCATTAAACTCTTTTTATACATAAAAAAGTTCTGAAAATTACTGTTATTTAGTTTAAACTACAAATGGACTTTAATTAGATAACTATTAACAACTAAGAGGTATAGGATGAGAGGACCTCACTTGAAATTGAACTGTACACAGTCAGGTGTTGTGTCAGGTGAATTAGTTAGAAAAACTCGCAGTTAATTTTAGTCTAGTCAGTTAACATAGAAAAAAATCTGAGAGTTATATTACCAGTGTAAATGAACTTCGGTTAGAGAACTTTCGTAACACAATTAAGATATTCTGCAGTTTTATATGTCTTTTTATATTTACGTAGTTTTCATAGAGAATTTATGTATATATATCCTTGAAACAGTTTTTCGAATCAAGTCCACAAACGGTATTGTCTGTCGTAATCTTCAATATTATTTTATAAAACCTAACTGATGAGTTGAATACCAACTGAACAGTTATGAAATAATTTAGTTTCCAAAGAATTATAACAATTTTTGCATTTCAAGCCTGTTACCCATAGGCTGCTGCCTAGCATTCTCCAACTTACTCTGTCTTGAGACTTCCTTCAAGTTCTATGCAACCGCTGTTCATTCCTCTTACGTTTGTCTCCAATGTTCTCTTTGATATTGAGGGTTCCAGGTGAGAGCTTGTCTTGTGAGGCAATTGGGTGATTTGCTTTCCACCTCCAGTGCTTCTTCCTAATTTCTTGCCCAAACTGGAGTTCAGTTTGCTCTCTGCCCCCAGTCATTCAGTCAGTCAGATGCAACGCTGAACTTCGTACGTATGTACATCAGTTCATGTTGCGATACCACATCAGCACTGAAACGCCATTGTCAATTCAAATCCAATAGTAGAAGAGGTAGTAAAGGTATTAGAAGTAATCGGAGAGGTTAGGATTAGAAGATATTCAAGAAATACGATTCAGTGAGAAAAGTTTAGAAAGTCAAGAAGAATCCAGAAGATTAGGATTTGAGAGTACACAAAGAATGAATGCACCGGCGCCATTGCGAACGATTCTGAGCCATGTCATTTAAGGTCTCTAACCATCGATTATTATCATCTCGCAGACCCCAACCAGGTAGTCGACAATTACCGACATGGCTCTGCCCCCAGTAGATTGTTACTGATAATATCTAGCCAATGAATCAGAAGTATTTTTGCGTACAGGACTGTTTATAAACACTTGCATCTCATGGATGATAGCCTTCGTCGTTCTCCATTAACTGTCTATTAATAGCTCATTTAGAATGAAAATAATTTAAAAACAATTCAAGTGTAAATTTTCTGTTCATTTACTGAAATAATGTTCTCGTTATATGGTATTGTTTGTAAGTTTTCGTTGTTTCGCTAGGATTATCATTTAAGATTGAGCATAACTATTTTTCATTGGGATATTATTTATTTAATATATTGTCTACAATTACATTTTAATCCTAATTTTGTTATAGTGGCTAAGAGTAAAAAGCAAGCACTAAATACGCACATCAGTAGATATGCAGATATGTACAGCTGTATAGCTGGTTTCAAAAATGTGCAACTTAACAATCTTCACAACCCCGTAATGCAAATTACCTGTGCTCACTAGTGACTAGCATCGTGAGGAATCTTCTCCGAGTTCTAGTGGGAAGACGTGACCAGTGAAGTTCAACCTGTTCGGATGTAGACAGTAACTACCGAAGACTGTGTATGAGGTTGCGCAACTCTGTGAATTGATCAAGTTAGACATTAACACTGTTAGATACCGGCTCAGTGGTCCGATGGTTAGACGTTCGCCGACGACACCGAAGGTCCTGGGTTCGAATCCTGAGGGGCTCAGGAATCGTGGATGCGCACTGCTGAGGAGTCCCATACCAGGACGAAACGCTCATCCAGTGCTTTGAGGTTTCTAATGGTGGTCTAACATTGATCGATCCATGGTTTCAAAAATGTGTAACAGCTGTTAAGTATCAGATTGAATGACACATGTTTCTGATATTTCAGGGCTACCAAAAATTAGTTTCTTCCTACTTAAATCAACTACCTGAAACTTAAATAACCCATAATCTATAGAAAATTTATAGAAAAATAAATATATACAATTTTTACATTGATTTTCTTTTTCACAGCCTGGACAGATATGATATCATCATCATCATCGTCATTATCGGTCAACAAATATCATGATTCAATGCCATTTGGACAACAATCCTATCACAGCATTCCATTTCCTTATTATATACAAGAAAATCTACACGTTTCACCGCATACGCATGGATTCGATGTATCGAATAAATCGTATTTATCATTGAATTCACTGCCACCGCCAAATCTTCTAAATTCAACTCAAACAAATTTAAAATCGAATCAATTATCATTAAGAGATGATCAATCATTGCTTTCACCGTCAACATTGTCATCCTCCTCCTCATCATCATCACATTCACCTTTGTTGTCGTCTACTTTAACAACTACAACACTGACGACGACAAGTAACTCATTGTATACAACTTTTCCTAATACAATGCATTTATTAACGTCTAAATCTGTCAATCTTGATACGAATAATTCACACATAGTTAATAATCATGATCGATTATCCTCATTTGCCAATCTATTAAATCATAAAGAATTATTTTCAACTCGAATCAATTGTAACAATGATAATGATGATAATAATATTAATAATAATAATAATAATAATAATAATTATTATGAACGAATGACATTATCGAATTTTTCAACAACAAATAATTTCCTAACAGGTACCTTAAATAAAATGAATCATTTGAATTATGAACCTAGTAATGATGTAATCACAGGCAATAATCATCCGCAAAGATTACCGTTTATGACAGAGATCAATGATTACAAACCAACAACGTCAGTAACAATGTCAACAATCAATTCATTATGGTCATCTCAATTAAGACAATTAACGGATCAGACAGTAAGTAGTAACAGTATGAGTAGCGGTGTTATTCCATTTCAACACTCCATGAACTCTACGTTATCTGTACCATCCATTACAGACGACAATAATCACATTAAAATCAATAATATTTCACCTAGACTACTGTCAAATGAAATTATTACTACCGATACTACTACTACTACTAGTTCTACTACCACTACTACAACTACTGATAATCATATTATTAGTAGTATTGGAAGTCAACCGTTTATTCAAGATGATATACACACATTATCATCAACATTATGGTCGAATGAACGATTACATAGTGCCACTTATGGTACAGAAATAAATCATAATGCATTTTATCAACCAGTAGTATATAATTCAGTTCATACTATGCCTACACGATAACTGGTTTATACCTCTATTAAAAAAAAAACTAACCACTAATGATAACAATACTGCTACTGCAAATACTACTTACTAACAATAATAGTAATAAACGTGATAACACAGTAGTATTGTGCAGACAAGACATTGAAAACATTGAACAGCCAATAAATGATCAATTTTTTCCCCCCTCAAAATGACATACCAAAAAAAACAAAGTGCTTACATGCGGACATTTATAAATAGGTATTTATGATAAAATTTCACATGTTCTCTCTTCGTTGCAATTACTTTCTCGAATGTATCTTCATTTTATTTTCTTTTTTCGATTGAGAATATTTCCTTCCGTATTGGTTTTTTGTGTATGAATTCTTTCAAACCACTGAAAGTGTATTTAACATCAACCTAATTAATCTTGATTCAATGAATGACTGACTGATTGATTGATTGTTAAAGTTTATTTAATTCTACAAAGGGAAAAAAAGGGGAATAATTATTATAATTCAATTTATAATAGTTAATTAATTAAATAATTATTTATTTATTTATTGTATATAAAGTTATGATTTACAATGGTTATCAGAAAAAGAAAAATTATAATTTTTGAGAGATATTTACTGGTTGTTTTGATTTATTGTATTTTTCAAATCATAAAGAAAAAAACACTACTTAAGGAAGAGTTAGTAGTATATAATTGAATTGTATCATTTTATAGGTTAAATTAATAATTCGTAAATAACTTTTTTCAACATCAGGTCTTGACATTGATCTCAATGATGGAAGGCATTTAGTTTGAGCAATATTATTCGATCCTAGTGTATCCATGAAGGGCACCTTGTGTCACTGAAATCTCGTGACGTTAAAAATGCATATATGATAACTTGCACAGTTTGGCAAGATGAGTGCAAAAATTATGTGCTGGTATGCTTTATATTTATCAACTATTTTAATTGAGAAGAGGTTGTGGAAATGGTTGGAGTTACTTTATTAAATCGTGAATCGATCACTGATAGATCGCCATTAGAAACCTAAAGTCACCGGATGGACATTTCGTCCTCGTATGAGACTTATCAGCGTGGAGCATCCATGACTTCTGCAACTCGCAGGACTCGAACCCAAGACCTTCGGTCTTGTGTGCAAGCGCCTAATCACTGAACCACTGAGCTAGTATCTAACGATATTAATACGTAATTTACATCAATGCACGATCTTGTGCAACTTCATACTGTCTTTGGTGAGCACTCCTTCACAAGCGAATAGGGCTGAATACCACTGGTCAGGACTTCTTTACCGCCTCTAAGATTCAGATTTACATGGCTTGGCATCATGATTGCAAAAATTACACACTATAATTTCCTATATATCTAGTTATTCTTTGGCAACAATGAATCTTGATAGGATGATAATGACTATATTATAGGTCAAATGGTCAGTTTTCTGGTGATTTTATTATTTTCAGAAGTAATTGTTTTAGTAGAAGAACTTTGGGGATTTCTATAAGCGTCAGATTTAATGCAGCTTGATAAAGAAATCAACTGAATGAACTCTCTTAGTTTCGTACACGAAGGAATGACTCTAACGTTTATTAATTTTTGACTGTTTAGATAATTTCAAAGAATGTTTTCAATGGTGGAATATCAATAAAATTGACTATATGTTCTTGAGATGGTGGAGAAAATTTGTAGCTCAAGTGGATGACTGCGGTGGTGTTTCGTTGTCTGAGCTAGATGTTTTGATTTGTGCTGATGATATTGTTCAGAAGAACAATGGAAGCTCCACAACCAAAGCATGCAGCTCATAAAACCAGACACCACCACAGTGACTATATTGTTCATAAATTGAGCTGTTAACTGGCATAGATTCTCATTCAAACAATTATGAACGGTGGTGCCTAGATATATGTTTGCTACATGTACACTTTGTATAGCTAGTATAATCTACTTCACAGAAGTTATTAAATGCACGTTAAAGTGATCCAACGCAACAATGCACCCTTGATATCTCTTTGAATAAGATACTTACTGAAAAAAATATTTTGGACTATCTTTGAGTAGACGAACTGTCTCAGAGATCTTGACAATATGTCATTCGATATTTCTGTTGCCATATCTCGTTTGTACTGAATGTTCATGAATAAAATTTTATTCAGGACTGTGTGTGTGTTGAGGTGTCTTCGATAAAATAAATATCGGCAAAACATCGCATTATGATCAAGAATGAAATGTATGAACTTAAAGACAACAGAATTAAATTGATAATAAGAATAAGCTTTCATTTTGTATACCGTCTACAGGTTTGTTTCAGCTACGAAAATAATGTACTACTGAATGAATAGGGAAGGGTACTTTATAACCGTCGAATGCAGATGACGACCTACCACCTAAGATAAAGTGAAATGTGTTGAGTTTCAGTGACAAAATTAAATATCATCATTGGGATGAAGTTATTTCCAATTCATGAGTTTCTGAATTTAACTTCATTATTTATTTACACCTGTTACACCTCTTGGAGCATAAGCCGCCAACCAGCATTATCCAACCTACTCTGTCTTAGGCCTTCCCTTGCAGTTCTACTCAAATTCATTTTTTTCATGTCAGCTCCTAATTCTCAGTGTAATGTGTGCTCTGACCTTCCGTCTTTTCCTTTGACCTTGAAATAATGTAGACTAATTTATCAGTTTTGCATTATTCCCGTACGTTACAAACTAAGGTTTAGACTAAGGAATAACTGTCTAGGAAGTTTAGATACACGTCTTGCCAAGTAGTAATCAAAACAAGTGATTTGGGTTAATGACGATTCTAATATTCATCATAAATATAAATGTACATTATTACCTAAACAAATATTACCACTCAGCTATTCCACCAACAATTGTTCAATTAATCAAATCAACAGCAACAGATAACTGATATTCTATCCCTCCTGGATAGACCAGAGTCGTTCGACAAATAATATTTGGTTACTTTATAATATAGAGTGTTTCCAATTCTGGAAGAGTGCTTCAATTCACAATCAAAATGTACAATGCCAGTCAAAGCAATCAACCCAATCAAAAGAGGAACAAATCAATATGACTGTCGACATGACTAAGTATCAGCTAAAACAACAACATAGATGCAGTTCAGAAAGAAACATAGAAACTCAGTAAAGTAAGAAGAAATAGAAACTATTATAAAATACAGATATTATCATCGCGAAATGGAATCGAACTGACTGACGAAATGTACAATCGAAAAAATCAATAAGGATAAATGACAAATGTATACCTTCGTTTTTTCCTTTGACCTTGGAATAATTTTACAGTTTTGTATTGAATTTTTTTTCTATTTTTCCAAAAAAAATATTTTTGATTCGCGTACAAAAAAAAATAATTTAAAATAATAAAATAATGATTATTTCCAAAAAACATGTAATTCAATTTTATCAACAAAAAAAAACGGGAAAAAAAATCAATTCATTTTTAATTTTTTTTTTGATGAAATAAGTTGTGTGTTGTATTTGCCTTCTTCCCCAATTTTCGACCCTTCCATATTCTTTTTCTATTCATTGAAATGGTAAGCAGGAAAATTTTGTCATTGAAAAAAAGAAAACTTTGAAAAAAAAATAAAATAATATTCATTCAAAGACGGAAATACGCGGTGATATGACAATGCATTTCCTTATTTGACCATAAATGAATCATATATGTATGTATTAGACTGATTGTACAAAGTAATCGTAGTTAATGGATAGAAATGAAAACTAATAGTTTTATGCAAAATGTATTCTCAAGGAGGGTCTATTTTGTCGTTTTCTTTTTGGAAGACAACAGTGTCATGATAATTATTTGCATTGAGAAACTGAACAATAGAAAATGGAAGAAAGAAATTTCTTGGAATTTCTTATTCATTCATGTTGTGTTGATGTCATCAATTAGTTGTTGTAGACAGATAGGGAGAGATAGAGAGAGGAGGAATTCAGTGTGTGTTTGTGTGTAGAAAAAACTTATTTCAATTAATTTTTGACTTTCTGTTGAAAGTTTTTTACTAACTGATTTCCTGTACATTATTAGATAGAATCAGAAAACTTTGTGTCAGTCAGTTTAGCTGTGTTCACTCACACACACACACACACACACACAGAGGGACACGCATTTACTACAAACACGCACATGAAATATTTGCATTTCAATAATGAATAATGGAAGTTTTTTATCGTGTAATTACTATTATTCTGATTATTATTAGTTGGCTAATAATTTCGATCGGATTCAACCACTTAGTCACGCTAGTTTTAATTTTCAAGTAGATTTATTCGATTTATTTAATATTTCCAGTTATTTTATCTATTGATTGTGCATCTTTCTCTCTGCTTTTTTTTTCGTTTCCTCTTTCAGTGTTCATTATCGTTCTTTTTTTTTGGTAGGTACCCTGTTATTTCTTAAATTATAAGTTAAATAGGATAAGATAGGCAGGCCGTTATATAAGAGCGGTGTACATACATCCACTACTCATAAGCACATACACACCCAACACTGGAAGTGAGTGAGTGGGAGAGAGAGAAAGACCGATATTCGCATCTACCTTTTTCCTTGCAACAACCACAACAATAGCGACCGAAACTTACTACTTAACCTCACTACCTATGAGTTTTTTTATTTTTTATTTCCGTGATAATTTTTTTGGGTTTTTTTTCTCTTTTTTTCTACAGGAAATTCATTTGTGAATCAGCTTATTCGTGTGTTCTGTTCTTTCCTCTCTTTCTCTCTCTGCATCGGTGTTTTAATCTTAGTTTTGCGAAAAAATGTCGATCTATTTTATTGAGAGAAAAAAGTTTACCTTAATAGAACACACTATGTCTGCTGTTTCACATAAACTAACCAGACTGAAATGGTTTAGAAAACCTAAAATAGTCATTAAATATGTATATCACTGG